TGTGCCAGTACCAGGCAGTTTTGAGAACAGTGGCTTTGTAGTATATCTTGATATCTGGTATTGTGATCCCTCCAACTTTGTTCTTCTTTCTCAAGATTGCTGCAGCTATTTGGGGTCTTTTTTATTACAGATGAATTTTTGGAGAGTTTGTTGTAGGTCTTTTGATGGGGATTGCATTGAATCTATAGATTGCTTTGGTTAGTATGGATATTTTAATGATGTTGATTCTTCCAATCCATGAACTCAGTATATTCTTCTATTTGTTTATGTCTTCCTCTTTTTTCACCGTTCTGTAATTTTCTGAGTACAGGTCCTTTCCCTCCTTGGTTAAATTTATTCCTAGGTATCTTAATTTCTTTCTTGCAATGATAAATGGGCTTGTTTTTTCAATTTCTCATTCTGTGAGTTCATTTTTGGTGTATAAAAAAGCCATAGATTTCTGGGTGTTAATTTTGTATCCTGCTACATTGTCGAATATTTATTAGTATTCATTTATTAAATCTAGTAATTTTTAATGGAGTCTTTAGGGTTTTCTATGTAGAATATCATGTCATCTGCAATTAATGACAGCTTTATGTCTTCTTTTCCAATTTGGATGCCTTTTATTTCTTCTTCTTGTCTGATTGCTATGGCTAGCACTTCCCGTACTATGTTGAACAGCAGTGGTGAATGTGGGTATCCCTGTCTTGTTGCTGTTCTTATAGAAAATGGTTTTAGTTTTTGCCCATTGAGTATGATGTTGGCTGTAGGTTTGTCATATATGGCTTTTATTATGTTGAGGTATGATCGCTCTATTCCCACTTTGCTGAGAGTTTTTATCAGGAAAGGGTGTTGAATTTTGTCAAATGCGTTTTTTGCATCAATTGATATGATTATGTGATTTTGGTCTCTCAATTTGTTTATTTGATGTATCACGTTTATTGATTTGCAGATATTGTACCAGCCTTGTATCCCTGGAATAAATCCCATTTGGTCATGGTGTATGATCTTTCTAATGTAATGCTGGATGCAGTTTGCTAGAAGTTTGTTGACGATTTTAGCATATATGTTCATCAGGGATATTGGCCTGTAATTCTCTTTCTTTATGGTGCCTTTATCTAGTTTTGGGATTAGGGTAATGCTGGATTCATAGAAAGAGCTTGGGTGCCTTCCTCTTGAATTTTTTGGAATAGTCTGAGGAGGATAGGTTTTAGTTCTTCTTTCAATGTTTGGTAAAACTCTCCTGTGAAGCCTTCTGGCCCTGGGCTTTTGTTTGCTGGAAACTTTTTGATGACTGTTTTAATTTCCTCCTTAATTATTGGCCTGTTGAGATTTTTTTTTATTCTTCTTGATTGAGTTTTGGAATGTCATATTTTCCTAGGAATATGTCTATTTCCTCTAGGTTGTTTAGTTTGTTATAGTAGCATTGTTCATAGTATTTTTTCACAATCTTTTGTATTTCTGTGGGGTCTGTTATTTTGCCTCTTTCATTTCTGATTTTGTTTATTTGAGTCCTCTCTCTTTGCTTCTTGGTGAGCCTGGCTAGAGGTTCATCAATCTTGTTTATCCTTTCAAAGAACCAGCTCTTAGTTTTATTGATCTTTTGTATTGTGTTTTTTTTTTTGTCTCTATGTCATTTATTTCTGCTCTAATCTTTATTATCTCCTTCCTTCTGCTTACACTGGCCTTTTCTTGTTGCTCTGTTTCTAATTCTTTAAGTTGTAGAGTTAGATAAATTATTACCTGCTTTTCTTGTTTTCTTGAGGTAGGCCTGTAATGCTATGAACTTCCCTCTCAGGACTGCTTTCACTATGTCCCATAGGTTTTGGATTGTTGTGTTTTCATTATCCATTATCATTTGTTTCCAAGCTGTTTTTAATATCTTATTTGATCTCTTTGGTAACCCAATTATTGTTCAATATAATGCTATTCAGCCTCTAAGTGTTTGAATTTTTTACTGTTTTTATTGTAGTTGTATGTCATTGTCGTCTGAGAAGATGCTTTATATGATTTCAATCTTTTTGAATTTGGAGAGACTTTGCCTGTGACCCAAAATGTGGTCTAGCTTTGAAAATGTCCCATGTGCACTTGAGAAGAATATATATTCTGTAGCTTTGGGGTGAGATGTTCTGAAGATGTCAATTAAGTCCATATGATCTATTGAGTCATTTAGGATTACTGTTTCTTTGCAAATTTTTTGTCTAGAGGATTTATCCAGTGATGTCAGTGGGGTATTAAAGTCCCCTACTATGATTATATTATGGATCTCTCCCATGATATCTTCCAAGAGATTTTTTATGTATTTGGGTGCTCCTGCATTAGGTGCATATATGTTTACCAGAGTTATATCCTCTTGTTGTATGATCCCTTTAGTATTATGAAGTGGCCTTCCTTATCTCTTGTTATGGCCTTCACTCTGAGTTGTATTTTGTCAGATATAAGTATTGCTAGCCCAGATTTTTTTTTCATTTCCATTTTTCTAAAATATATTTTTCCATCCCTTCACTTTCCGTCTGTGTGAGTCTCTTGTTCTGAGATGGGTCCCTTTTAGACAGCATATATATGTAGGTCATTTTTTTTTTATCCATTCAGCCACTCGATGTCTTTTGATTGGAGCATTTAGACAATTTACGTTTAAAGTTATTATTGATAGGTACTTGTTTGTAGCCATTTTTATTTTTTTCTGCCTTTGTTCCTCTTACCTTTTTTTCTTCTTTTTACAACAGTACCTTTAGCATTTCTTGCATTTCTGGCTTGGTAGTGATAAACTCCCTTAGCCTATTTTTGTCTGTGAAGCTCCTTATTTCCCCTTCAATTTTGAATGATAGCCTTGCTGGATAGAGTATTCTTGGATTCAGTTCCTTGCTTTGCATCACTTTGTATACTTCCTTCCATTCCTTTCTGGCCTGATGTGTTTCTGTTGAGAAATCATTTGATAATCTAATGGGAAATCCCTTGTACATAACTTTCTGTCTCTCTCTAACAGCCTTTAAGATTCTCTCTTTGTTGTTAACATTTGACATTGTAATTATGACATGTTTTGTGTGGATCTTTTGGGGTTCATTTTGTTGGGGACTCTTTGTGCTTGTGTGACTTTATTATTCCCCAAATCAGGGAAGTTTTCTGACATTATTTCTTCAAATAGGTTTTCTAACCCTGCTCCTCTTCTTGTCATTCTGGTACCCATATTATATGTATGTTGCTTCGTTTCATGTTGTACCAAAGCTCCCTCAGGCTCTCCTCCTGTCATTTTTTTTCCAAGTGCAGTTCAGATTGGGTGTGTTTTGCTTCCCTGTTTTCTAATTTGCTAATTCGGTCCTCTGCTTCTCCTAGTCTACTGTTGAAAGCTTCCATATTGTTTTTTATTGTTGCTATATCACTCTTTGTTCTTCCTCATTCTTACATAGGTTGTTGATTTTCTCATCCATCCAGTTTATGAACTGTATGACCCTTATTCTTAATTCTTTTTCTGACAAATTGTATGCCTACGTTTCATTTAGTTCCTTTTTTGGTGATTCTTCCTTTTCTTCCTTTTGGGTGTTGTTCTTCTGTCTCACCATTTTTGCTCTCATCAAAGGATCTAGGTGTCGAGTGGCTGCAGTGGTGGGTTTGGTGGCAGGTTGCGCAGTCATGGACGGTGTCTGCTCCTTGGGCAGTCGCGGGCGGCGGCTGCTCCTCGGGTGGTCGCAGGGAAGCCTCTCCTTGCACAGTTGTGGGTGGCTGCTGCTCCTTGGTGGGTAACAGAGCGGCTTCTCCTCAGGTGGTCATGGGTGGTGGCTGCTCCATGGGCTGCAGCTATTCGTGGGGTGGCTTCTCCTCAGGTAGTCGCAGGTAGCAGCTGCTCATTGGGGGGGGGGGGCAATTGTGGAGAAGCTGTTCCTTGTGTGGTTGTGGGAGTGGCTGCTCCTCTAGCCTTCATGGGTGGCGGCTGCTTGTGGGGCTGCTGGAGTCGTCACAGTGCCTGGGGCTTCTATCTAAGGCTTGGCTCTTCTCCTGCGGTTGCTGAGCCCAGGGCTGCTGTGTAAGGCTCCGTGTTCGCATGTGTGATAGCCAAGCCTGGGGCTGCTGTGTAAGGTTCAGCTATTTTCGTGCTCAGTTGCGTAGCCTGGGGCTGCTGCGTAAGGCTTGGCTGGTTGTATGCATGTTTGCCGAGCCCCGGCTGCTGCCTAAGGTCAGCTGTTCTTGCACATGAGCACGGGTGGTCTCAGTGCCCGGGTCTAAAGCATCTGGCTGGCAGGAGGGGAGTGTACTCAGGAACTCCAAGGAGCCCTCAGCTGGGGAAGCTGGAGTCCTGGTGTCCATGGGTCAGCAACAGGTCCCTGGCCAGAGTGGCTTTAGCATCCCAGGTGGTGTCTGACAGCACCCTGGGTGGAGGTGAGGCAAGGCTTCCAGTCACAGCAACTCTCCCCTTCAAGATGACAAGGCCTCTGCAGCAGAGCCGGAGCTCAAGGAGAGATTTACGACAGTAGCAGAGGCTGCCCGGCTATGTGAGCCCGGTCCGCCAGCCCCCGTAGGTCCTGTGAGATCTAGCTGTCCCTCACACTCTCTCACACACACACCGTAAGTCCACACACTCCCCTTTCACTCCCTCACTCACTCACACTCTACCCCTCACTGCTGTCCTGTTGGCCGCCATCTTGGGATCCCCATAAGTACATTCTTTCAGAGTTTAATCTAAAACATTAGCCTAAAAGTATTTATTATCCATAAGGAATTTGTTGACTTAGTATTAAAACTATTTTTCAATAAATGTAGGTTTATATCCTTTTATCATTATCAAGTGCTTTTGATGTATACTATCTCACTTGATTTCAATAACAACTTTGTTAAATACGCCACCTTGAAAGATTTTTATTGTTTTGTAAATGTTTGAAAAAATACACACTTATATTCCAACATACACCTTATTTAGGAAACTAAGCTATAAGCTCTGTTTAGCCCGGGGCAATGTCTTATTCACTGTTGTATCTTCAACACCTAATACAACTAATTTAAGAGGCATTGTGTAAATATTTGATTCATTAATAAATGAGTGAATGAGAAAGCAAAGCACTTATTAAAGTTCCTACTATTGAGATGAGAAAAGCATTCAAAGATATTCAATGATTTGCTTAAGGGTATGTGGCTAGTAAGTGGAAATAGAACTGGGATAGAGATGAAATAAAATAATCTATATAACATAGCATAATGCCTAAGGCATACTAGGTGTTCAGTAAGTATACCATTTTGATATTCTGTGCACATATTCAAACATTTATGGTGTCCTTTTCACCATATTGCACCATAGTAATGGTGTGTGGGATAATCACAGAGACTAATTCAATATTTCCAATAAGTTAAATCTTGTCTATTAAATAGCAACCTCTGAAAGGTAAATACATTCCCAAAGACTAAATAAGTTCTTTTCTTCAATTTTACACATTATCAATGACTTGATTTAAAACCCAAAGACAATTAAATTGAATTTTATGCAAGAGCATAAAAATCCAGCCGTCAGCTATTCATCACATTCCAATTTGTCTGTGTCAAAGAGAAAAACTTCCATTTAGTCTTCTGAAATCTATATAGACTGTATCTCCATTTTGCAAATTCTGAGCCATTTACTCTGTAAATTACCATGAATTGCAAACAAAAGCCCAGAAATAGTTCTGTGCAGATTCACACCAGTCAGTCAGTTCTGTAAATAGTCAGCCTTGCCTGAGTCCTGTTTTAAATAACATTCATTATTAACAATTCCATGTCATCCTTAGAGCTGATTACCATGCAGTGAGCCCCCCAAAGTAAGATTCTGAACATTTCAAAACAGGCACTGCAGACATTTAGAAATTATTTAGCCATATTGCTGCTAAACCAAGCCATCTATTGATACAAGTGAACATTTTACATTCATATGGCTGCTATTTGGAAGGTATCACATTTTAGTAAGGGCAGAGAGCTGTCAGTTATTCAATTAAGGCTCATATTTATTTTTTAAAAACATCAATTTTGTTGTCTTAACGTTCTTAAAGACTTTGTAAGGAAGCTTTAGAGGGAGTGTTTATATTTTATTACTAGATGATTGTTTTATTGAAAGACTTTTAAATACTGATTTCTAGATCCACAGAATGAGCTTTTCTGTCATCCTCCTTATTCCAAACTCTTTTCCAGAATCTTATTTTTGCCGCAAATATGGAAACTATACTTTGAAAAGGAAACTTTAATTTGCCTGCCTTTAAGTAGCTGATTTATGTTTTAGGAAGTAGTTTGAGAAAAATGCTTAAGATGAGAATAGCCAGAAGATGAAGTCAATGTCAAGTCAAATGGATTTCCTGAAGGTCATCCAGCCAGGTTTGAATTCAAGTTCCTCTGTCACTAGTACCTGTGCTCTTTTCACTATAGCAGGCCTGGAAAGATTCAAAATTTGCCTCTCCAACAATCCAAGAAGAAAATCCCTGGTGAATGGGGACCATAAAAATTCCAAAAATGTGTGTATCAATATCCCTCTAACATCTAGTAAGTAAGCTTTCTTGAATAAAGTATGTATTGTAATCAATAATGAACAATATGTGCAATTAAAAGGTAAGGAAGTATTAACAGCTTCAAAAATTAGCAAGTCAACAAGCTACATAGAAATCCAAAGATACTTTTGAGGGAGGTTTCAAATAGAATTCTAAGTCAAAGAACATTTTTCCTCTACCTATAGTTTATATACTAATAGTGATAATAATAACTAACACTATTGACAAAAATTAGAGCATTTGCATGTTTAATAAGTTTTTAAAGGTCACAAAATAAGCATAGCAAAGAATGCAAAAAAGCTTATGGTTTTTAAAGGACTAGAACATTTGCTTTGTCTAGAATCTGGATAAAAGTTCCCAGGAAATAGGGTTTCCTGCTTCAGTTTCTTTATATGTGAGACAAAAGAACTAAATGAGATAATGTATGAGTAGCACTCAATAACATAAATAGCAATAGCACACAGTAAGCCTGTGTAAGTAGGTGGTCCCTACTGCAGATGAACAGTTTGCTCTAGGCATAGAACAGCTTCTGTAGCCTTAGTAACAGAGGATGATCCTGCATTGCAGATTAAATTGAGCAAATCAAAGTTTCCACTTTTAAAAATATAAAAAACTAAGCTGATAAATAGCCTGATTGATATATCTAGGCCAGTGGATCTCAGTTAGGGGCAATGTTGCTCTCTGGAAACATTTGGAGACATTTTTGGTTATCACAACTTGGGGGAGACAATACTGGCATCTAGTGGGTCAAGGCCAGGGATGCTGCTAAACATCCTATAAGGCACAGGTCAGCCCCCAGAGCAAAATATCATCTGGCCTAAAATGTACATACTGCTGAGTTTAAAAACCCTAGTCTAAGTGGATGGACATAAATTAGGATATCAATGTTGCTATTGCTCTAATAGAACCAATGAGGGTGTCAGATGTAGTAGTGGATTTTCCTTAATATAGATTCATTTGACAGAAAAAAATAAATGGAGCTGGATATCATATCATGTTTCTCTGATACAATGTCTCCTTAGAAATTTAAAGAAACATAAAAAGGTAGAAGTGATTTTAGAGCAGCATCTTGGAGGGATAAAAATTGAAGTATTTTATCAAATAGAGAATTAGGACCCAATAATGAAACATTAAGCAATTTTCTAGGCCTGAAGACAAGACTATAGAGTCATGCTGGTATTGGGCACTTATAAGAGGACTATATTTTAAAAAGTATTTCCACAGATATAGCTCTTGGTCATTTAAAATTTAAGAGCTAGAAAGACTGAACTTAAAACTCAATGGATTTGATTAGAGTGAGGTTTATTGAAAGGACAAAAAGTGGCTTCACTCAGGGAATGGTGGCTATTTTGCATTATAAAGCTTTCATTTATTTATAGAGATGCACACATACAAAGATACTAAATACAGGAGAGAATTGTTGTGATCCAAATATTAAATATTATAACTTCAGTATGTTAATAAAAGGTGGCATTTGGGGACATCAGCCTGATTGTGAAAACTAGAGTAGCTAATACTCGTTTATGGACGAAGATTTTTAATATCCTTAGGAAAAGCCATCTGAACAGCAAAAAAATGGATGAAATAAAAAGAGAATTGTAACATGCTTTTGCATAGCATTTTACAATGTACAAAATACTCTGACATTATTTATTTATAGAGTAATGTGGGAAAAAACTAATTATTTTCATAATGACTGTTTACTCCCAGGTGTCCAAAATAGTTGGCTTCTGATAACAGATCTTCATTGAATTACTGAGTGAATGTGTGGATTCTAAGAGCTCAAGTGGCAGTAATTATAGTCTAAAACATCTAACTCACTAATGGTAGTGAGAAATAGATGGAAGACATAACCTAACTCTGAAGACAGTCTATCATACCACCAACATAATGCACTGGGAAATAATAAGTGGATAATTCTAGCTGCTAAAATTCACAGGGAGCTATATAAACCCAGTAAATCACTGATAGAGGCTGTAAACTTGCCAGCAAATCAATTACAATATCTTTGCGATTTCTTTCTGTTTGTAACTAAAATAACAACACTGGGGATTTGAAACATAAGCCATCATTGATTGTTTAAAATCAGTTCTTGAGGTGGTGAAAGACACCCTAGTTACCATTCATTAGCAAGGCCTTTATTATATCATTTAAAGCATGCATTGGTTAAATGGGAAAAAAGGATTCTCTCTATATAAACACAATAATGCTAACCCATTATCAGTAAGGCATGCATTTTTAGCTGTTTTTCTAGTAGTTAAGATGAGTTTGTATTAAGTAAGTTATATATTCTTGTCTAGCTTCAAGATACAACAGGACTGAGAAAATTATTTATGATCCAGTTTATCTTTTCATCATGCATAATTAAGAAATAGATGGTTAAAACTCTGGCAAATCCCTACATTTCCTTTTAGTAACTAGGATATGCTTAGGAATAATTGAAAAGGATTTCAATACTTGGATATGTAATGTTACTTCTTAGGATCATTGAATCTTAAAGCTAAGCAAAGCTTTAATATCTAGTACTATCTTACATTTGCAAATTAAAAAGCTAAGATTCTGAGGAATTAAGAGACCTATCCAAGTTCACATAGCTAATATAGTGGCTTGTCAGGTTTTAGAATTCAGAGTTCCAAGCTGCCAATTCAGTGATCTTTTCATTATGTCATACTGTCCTAAGGTCACACTTGATTCTACCACTACCTGTGCAACAACAAAAAAGAATCGCATACCAGCTTAGCAAGAGCATTAGTACAGAGATGCTCTGTGAAATTCTTTGAATCTGCCTGCAAGAGATAAGACTTTCAAGTTCATGTCAACTGCTTACACCATCCCAGAATTATGGGTTCTTTCATTGTCACACAATGAAAGAATGCATGGAGAGCCAAGTATACATTTAAACCCCATCATTAAAATTTGTACATTTTCTTGTGTGTCCTGGAGATGTTCACATTTTCAAAGCTGACTCAAAGGTATAGATTTGAGCAGAATGCTTTCTACTAATCAAATAGCACATGAACTAATTTTTAAAAATCAGATCTAGAATATCCTTTAATAATCACGTCTCTAATAATCATATTTTCATAAGCTGCTTTTTAGTCTAAAACCCATTTTATGTGTATTAAGAATATGCTTGTACTAGATTTTGACATTTTATTATGTAAGACAAAGATGTGAACGTGACTGTGAGGTGAATAAACTGAATTTGAGCAGTGCAAATGCAAATTAAGAGAAAAATTACCCAGATAAGGACACCTTTAATAATGTCTGAAATGCATGGCAAACTGAGTGTGATTTGGGCAGATATGTGGATGCAGTCTAAGGGAAAGATTACAGCAGAAATGGGAGGGGTAGATGAGAAGTGTAAAAGATTGTATCAATGACCCCAATTATTCACTTCTACCTGTATCTTTACCTTTTGTCATGTAACTTTGCAGTCCTTTCTAACAGAGGTGGGACATAATTCCTAACCCCCTGGGGTTAGTCATGATGACATGCTTTAGCCAATAGGATTAGCAAATGTGATAAAGTCTTG